ACGTCGTTCAACGTTAAGAGAAAAGCCAACCGAGAGGGGGAGGGAGGGAACGAGAGAAAGAGAAAGTAAAAAAGAGAAATCTTTCCGGTAATAACTATCAAATAAGACTACGATTCCCTATTCCCTAAACAAAAATCGAATTCATGTTATATGACAAGCTGTAAATTTTACAAAACCGACTTCCCAGAAAGGGGAAAAAGAGAAAGAAAAAATATAAAAAAAAAAAGAAGAAGAAGAGTAAAATAAGAGGAGAAAGGCAGAATTTTCTTTTTCTTTTTTCTTCTTCCTCCCTCCCCCTCTTTTGTCTTTTTATTCCACATAAATATCTTTTCAATATTTGCAGAAGTCACGCAAGATTGAAATTAGTCTCTATTGACTTTTATTATTGTTATTATGCCGGTAATGACGTTGTAAAATTCTATTTAGGAGGTGATCCGTATGTCTGGCTGTAAAAATTCTGTCTTCTTCACCGGGAGAATATTAGGGTGGAAAGTTTTCACTCGATTCTAAACGGGGATTTTCATTGTCGTCGAGATTTTCTGGGTGTATCGCTGGATTTAATTGGTGTTATCGCTTCTGTTTTTTAAGATATTCACATTTTTATCCATTCTCTATGCACTTCTCTCTTGTAGAAGCGCATAATATAACGGTTTCTGTCTTTTGTAGAGACTTCTCTGTTGTAGATGATGATTTCCAATAGATTTCTCTTCTTAGAAAAGCACGGAGAGCATGTCTTGTAGATCAGTTTTATAGAAAGAAATCAATTTTAGATTTAAAAGAAAAAGCTACGTTTAGGTGTGTAGTGAGAAAGAAAATTTTTTCTAGACTCTTCTTGTAGAAAGAGCATCACTTGTAGACTGTTTCTGTAGAAAGAATGCTTCTTGTACAATGCTCTTCTATAGTGGAAAGAATGCCTCTTGTATAATATTCCTCTCATATAAAAAGAATGCTTCTCTTAGAATGTTCTTTTCATACAGAATGCCTCTCTTAGAATGTTCTTCTCAAACAGAATGCCTCTCTTAGAATGTTTTTTTCATACAGAATGCCTCTCGTAGAATGAAACTCATCTCTTGTAGAAAGGTCACTTCTAGACTGTTCTTGTAGAATGTACATCTCTTGTAGACTGTTATTGTGAAAAATACATCTCTTCTAGAACGTTCTTCACTTGTAGAAATTGTGCTTCTTGTAGAATGAAGCTCATCTCTTGCAGGCTGTTATTGTACAAAGAATTCCTCTCGTAGACTGTTCATATAGAATGCACATCTCTTGTAGAAACAATGCCTTCTGCAGACTGTTCTCTACACCTCTTGTAAATTTCGGTTTGCATAAAGCTCAGTTATCTACACACAATTCTTTTCTGTATAGCATATCAGTTGCAGTTTCTGCTGGAGATGGAGCCTCGTCTTATCTTATTCGGACCATATATAAAGGGATATACTGTATATATATTATATAAATTTACACTTAAAACTATATCCTTGTAGATTTATTTCCTTTCTATATTGTCCTGTGCTGTATTTTACGTCTACAGTTTTCGTATGATATATATTTTATTGTTCTATTCTGTAGATGCAATTATTCTAACAATTAATACACACAGTATTTTATATTGCAGTATTATTTATTATATTGCAATTTATTTACAGCATTGTTTTCTGTGTATCATGCTGTTCTGATCATTCCTGTACGATGTATATCTTATTAAGTATTGTTTATTGGTTTATAAACGTATCCCTATAACCCTAAACCTTATAAATCTTTCCCTACAACAAATCATATAAACCTTTCCTTATATCCCTAAACCCTATAAAACGGTCAATATTAATTATAAGAACAGACTTTTCCATTGAAAAATAGCAAATAAATTAGTTCTATAATGCAATATAAACCCGAAAGTAATAATAAAAGTACGTAACATGCACTTTTATTACTCATTACTTTCATTTTCTATTGTACTATTGAAGATAATGTTCTTTTGTAGACTTGAATATAATTTGTATCGTTTTTTATGGCTCACATTTTCATTTTTGTTTTGCAATTTGTAACTTTTAAATATTGCTGAACATGCTGAAAAATAACACTTTTATACATCGTAATACATAATATATGAACGTAACATACGTAACTTTTATTTCTTGTAGAACATTTTCGTCTTTTGTAGCACGTTTTAAAACATAAATTATAACTGCTCCTTATATCCACTAAGCTGAAAATCGAGGTGTTCCTTACATTTACTGTGTTTAAGTACGAGGTGCTCCTTACATTCACTGTGCTTAAATACGTGGTGTTTCTTACATTTACTGTTTAAGTACGAGGTGCTCCTTACATTCACCATTTTTAAGTACGAGGTGCTCCTTACATTCACTGAGCTTAAATACGAGGTGCTCCTTACATTCACCATTTTTAAGTACGAGGTGCTCCTTACATTCACTGAGCTTAAATACGAGGTGCTCCTTACATTCACCATTTTTAAGTACGAGGTGCTCCTTACATTCACTGAGCTTAAATACGAGGTGCTCCTTACATTCACCATTTTTAAGTACGAGGTGCTCCTTACATTCACTGAGCTTAAATACGAGGTGCTCCTTACATTCACCATTTTTAAGTACGAGGTGCTCCTTACATTCACTGAGCTTAAATACGAGGTGGTTTTACATTCACTGAGCTTAAATACGAGGTGCTCCTTACATTCACTGTGCTTAAATACGTGGTGTTCCTTACATTTACTGTTTAAGTACGTGGTGCTCCTTACATTCACCTTTTTTAAGTACGAGGTGCTCCTTGCATTCACCATTTTTAAGTACGAGGTGCTCCTTACATTCACTGCGTTTAAATACGAGGTGTTCCTTACATTCGAAGTATTCTTTGCCTGTCTGAAAAGTCTGTTTACCTCTGAATTTTCTAATATTGTTTATTTTATACTTTCTGCTGATTATGTTATACTGTACTTTAAATTATTATTATGTTTGTTTATATTTGTTTCTAATCAACCCCCAGAAACGTAGAGACGTCTTAAGTTTGAAATAATAGTCCTAAATTATAATATATAATAATATGTACATCATTAATCATATACAGCAACATTAACAAGGCTTTACATATACATTATAAATAGGCTTTATCATAAAATTCCCTTCTGGTTTAGACCAGGCCTCATTACATTTCTTGTGTATTAAGAAAATTTCCCTCTATTTTTAATACATTTTACTATTTAGAAATATATAATCATTTTAGAAGCTGTTTTGTATAGAAAAGAATTTTAAAACAGTAGAAAGTTCGGGCCTTTATTCACCGAGAGGTCCTAACTTAAACTCGAATCCTCTGTGGGAGGCAGGGTTTTTTTTCCACCCAATTTGAAGTCGAATAACTCCCGTGCCATTCGTCGAAATTTTTTGAAATTTTGCAGGGAGGTTTGTATATTAGGGGAATTGATAATATTAAATTTTGAGGGTTAAAGGTCAAGTTGTTAAGGAGCTAGAATGGGTTCACTCGTCGTATCTCGAGTTGGGTCGTACTTAATGAAGTCAAAACTCGTATATACTCTCATTTTACCATTTTATAATTATATATAATATAAAAACTCTTAAAAAATCTCATAACAGATGGCTCCACGCGCAATTTTAAGCTTTTTCCAGAAAAGTTACACAACTCGCTGCTGGATTTTTTTTTCTGTGGAGACGATTTATTCACCCATTTTCAAAGTTTAGTAACTCCTGTACCATTAGACAGAAATTTATGAAATTTTACAACGAGGTTTACGTGTTAAGCCCTAATGTTTGTAGAAATTTTCAGGAGAATCGAACTATAGGTTCGAGAGCTATGGTTCCAAAACCCTTAATATCCCTCTAACTAATCTGAGGTAATGGCAGATAACAATTAAGGATGAAAACAATAAAGAATCAGCGTTGCCGTCTATTCATCATCTCTTCATGCCCTAAACATGGGCACTTTTTACGCACGAGACTCAAATTATGGGTACGTTTTACGCCTTGCAAGAGTCCCATTCCATAATACATCAGTGAAGAAAAGATACAGTAAGAAAAGCTTGTAGTGTGTGTGTGTGTGTGTGTGTGTGTGTGTGTGTGGAACACAAGATTTATTTTATTAAATATTTTTCTGTGCGCTCCCCAATTACTATAGCAGCATCCGGATTTAATTAAATTTTATTTACACAAAAGCAAGATCAAATTTAGAAATTTATCTTCCACATATTAAAAATAACTTGCACCACTTTTATTTATCTTCTTCCATTTATTTTAACCGAGAAAATGTAATGATTTTTATTCTTTCTTTCTATTTTTACGGTTTTTCATAAAAGTGGAAATGGACCTTTCAAAAAAAAGAAGAGAGAGAGAGAGAGAGAGAGAGAGAAAGTAAAAGAGAAAATACAAGGAAAGTAATATTTTGCTGTCTTATAATAAAGTTGGATTTCGGATTCATTACTACTTTGGCAACACTCCAATTGTTACTACTACTAAAATAACATCCCCATTTCTAGGGGGGTAGAAAGTGTTTTTTGAATATAAAAATTCGCCCCCCTTTCTTCTATTTATGTCCTAATTTTTGTCTGTTTTTTTTTTTAGTGAAATTGAGGGGGGTGAGATCGGTAATAAATTGCCGAATGAATTTAGGACCACCCACCATTTTATTTTCCTCTCTCGTTTGTATGTCCATAATCTAGTAGAAAGCTTATCCTTGAATCTCGTTTTATCTGTTTACTAAATGATTTAGGGAATTTAGTGGGATTTTTTAAATAAAATTTGGTGTTATTAATTTTCACTAAATTGGATATCGGAGGAGATGTTTGTTTGAAATCGATTTAGGGGTTTTAATAAGGGTGTTCTTTTTTGTCTTTTTTTTGGTAGAGGTTTATCGGGTTTTCGTCTGCCTCGTCCTCTCTTCAGCTTCTTTTCTCGTCGTCTCTTTCTCTCATGAGGATGAGGATGGAGGATGGTTCATGGAGGATCGTGGAGATAGGAGAGTGGATAATGGTAACAGGATCATGATGGAAGCTGGATGATAGTAACAGGATCATGATGGAAGCTGGATAATGCTGGAGCATCACAATGATGATAGCTAAATGCAAGAGCATCATGCGGATGAAAGCTGGCTAAAGCAAGATCAGTATGAGGTTTAAAGCTGGCTAATACAAGAGCATCATGCAGATGAAAGCTGGCTAAAGCATAAGCATTATGAGGTTTAAAGCCGGCTAAATTAAGAGCATTATGAGGTTTAAAGTTGGCTAATACAAGAGCATCATGCAGATGAAAGCTTGAAAAAGCAAGAGCAGTATGAGGTTTAAAGCTGGCTAATACAAGAGCATCATGCAGATGAAAGCTGGAAAAAGCAAGAGCAGTATGAGGTTTAAAGCTGGCTAATACAAGAGCATCATGCAGATGAAAGCTGGCTAACAAGAGCAGTATGAGGTTTAAAGCTGGCTAATGTTTAGTTAAAGGTAAATGTTGAAGATAGAAGGAAAACTTTTTATTGTTGTGATCCTCCTACCATAAACCATGACGATAGTAAGAAATTATTTTTAAAAATTTCTTAAATTACTTAAATTAATTTTTGAAAACTTTTGATTGAAAATTTGATTCCAATTAAAGTTAGAGAAACTAATTAAGCTTTTAACTAAATTTAATAGCCTTTAAAGAATTCTGCTATATATTAACTTAGTTTGAATTTATTAAATTAATTATAATTGTAACTAATTTAATAAATTCAAACAAATTAATTTATAACAGAATTAAAATTAGTTTAAAGTTCATTATAATTAATACAATTTTGGGTTTATTTATTTCTAGACAGTAGAACTGGGCCTTAGACAACGGTGGAGTTGTTCGACCTCTTTACACAATACAAAGCCCTTATCACATAAGTGTACAAGATCTAAGATTTTATAACTGTAATTGTATTGACAGCTATCCGAGGCCCTACAACGATGCATTCCTAAATTTTTCGTAGGCCTCATACTTTTAGGGCCAACTGTCGGTGGCCATAAAAGTACGAGGCCTACGAGAAGTCTTGTTCTGCGCTTGTATCCGGGGCTCTAAAGTTATGAGGCCTAGGCAAAAGTTTTCCATACAGATAGTGAAATTAGTGCGAAGCCTCGGACAAGAGCGGTGTTGCTCGACCCCTTAAGCAAATGCAATGCCCTTAAAACAAGTTATTCTATAACTACAGTGAAGTCTTCTTTAGTAAGTAGGCCCTAAATGAATGAGGCCCAGGCAAAATTCTCGTTGTTCTACACTTATACAATTGTATCATTAAAATACAATTCTAAAGCAAATTTAAGACGTATAGTGTCGACGGAGATGACGTTATTTACTTTAAAGAGACTCTTTGTATTGTTGTTACCAGACAACATCGCCTAGATGAAGTTATTTTATATATATATATAAAATGGATTTTGATATTTACTCCAAGAAAAATTGATTTTTCTTTTTAGAGGTTTGCCTTCTTATTTTTCCTTTCTGTTGACTTTTCTATATTGTATGAGACCTTCCAGTCTGTTTGACATTATTTAATAAGATTTGGCAGTTCTTTAGACCATTCAGTTTATACTTGTTTTTTTGTATTAAACAATGCTTCTGTGACGTGATTAAACGCAGTATTTATTGTTATAACACTCACTTGGGCGAACATTTTGATGATGTTACGTAGGGATGACGAATTGTCCTCTTATTTGTGATCTTTATCCGTTTGGTGGTTGTTCCGCTGACGGGAAACAATCCCTTTTCTGTAATGGTTACGGGATTATGTCAAATTGTAATCACGTTTATTGAGCATCGATTATATTGATCCTGTAACTTAAGGATCATACAATCGTTGGTCAAGCGAATTTAATCTCTACTCGATCGGATAGACAATTACAACCATTGTCTCAATTCTTCTGAATATATTTATTGGGTGCACTCCTTGCTGTTTATTACTTTCCCTGCTGTTAGATAACAAAAGAAAAGTGTGGTGACCTGTCAAAACGTGACCCTCCTTTCCGAGATTTTTCACATTTTTCGAATCTGGGGACCTCGAAACGTCGAGAAATGTAAAGAATTGGGGGACTTTTTCATCGGAGCGTTATAGCTTCGTGGGGCCCGGGATCATTTGAATTAAGGGGCCCCATGTGTGTTGTTGACATCAGGCATTTTTCTTCGGGGGAATTTTTGGGTCCTCTATGCTGGTTGCCCCAGGAAATTGCTCCCTTTTGCTCATATGATAACGCATCACTGGTTTATCTGCGTGTGTGTGTTGAGGGCACGATTTTGTCCACCAATTTGAAGGTTAATAACTCCCGTGCCTTCCGTCTAAAACTTCTGAAATTTTGCATAGGGGATTGTGTATTTGGGAGATTGATGCTGCTAAATTTTGGCGGTTAAAAATCAAGGGGGTGGGGAGATGGAGGGAGAAACGTGTCATATTTCGAGTAGGATCACAGTTAACGTTTTACTCGTTATTAGCATTTACAGTTTATTACGAAACTCTTCTTCTCTACCCTCAAAATTAAGCTTTTGCCATCTTATAATAATTAATAATAAAAGAAATTTAAAAATAAAATATCATAACAGATGGCGCCATACACAATTTTAACTTATTGCCAGGAAAGTTACGCAACTCTGCCGAATTTTTTTAATGGAGTATAATAAAGCTGTATTCTGGAATGAGAGAGTATTATGAAGGAATATTCTGTAGGGAGAGAGTACAACCTAATAAAGCTATAGTCTAGAAACTCGATAACGTACTCTCTCCATCATATTGTAGAAATAACACGTAATTAAAATGTAATTTCTTAATTTAATAGTTCTATTATTATCTAAAACTTCTTGTATTCTATTATAATTCATATAAGGCAGTTGCTGTATGTAATCATGTGTCAAGTTCAATTAGAAGAGAAACTTATTTGTATTGACACACTTCTATTTTTGACGTAGTCTGCTTTCTGGAATTAATATGGTACCAATTTGCCAAATAACTCTATTAACAAAAACTTGATAGAAAACAGATATCCGGTCTTCTATTATATCTCATTGCACACGTCACCTAAGTTCCTGTTGAGTCAGTTTGTTGAGTTCTGACCTATGTCACCTTTATCAAGTGAGATTCAACTTTCAAGTTTGATGAATTACCATTAAAATCTCGTAAAGGAAGTTTAATTTTTCGATTAGAATATTTTCTTTCCGGCTACAGAATATATATACCTTACATAAGGGCATTTATGTACAGACTTTTAATTATCGAATTAACAGAGTTTGACCGCCAAATAAACTAAATTTTAAGTTCTTTATTGAGGAATTTGTTACCTTCAAGAGCACTAAATAAACTAACCTGTAATCTTTCAAATGAGGAGTTAGCAATCAGGTTTATAATGAGGAGTCTGCTCTTCATTAGAAAGCATAAAAGTCTTCATTATATTCTTTATTAGAAAGCTTCAAAGCAAGCAGACTCCTCGTTGCATAAGGTTTGCAACAAAGAGGCAGCTCCTCGAAAGCATCAAAGTCAACTGTGAGGTTTGCAATGAGGAGCCTTCAGATTTTGCCCGAATCACATGAAGGTATTGCAAATCTTACAGTTGAAGATCAGGCAGTCAGGTCCTTGCATCAAATTTAGAGCCCTTTAGAGCTTTTATGCTCCTCATTAGGGAGCATAAAAGTCAATTTGCAAGGTTTGCCATGATATTGGCTCTTCGAAAGTATTAAATGAAGTAAATTTGAAGGCTTACAGAAGAAAATCTTTAAGGATATTAGGAGTCGTAAGCAGGTAGGTAAATAAACTATACTGATGAATTTAATACACAGTTAGCTGATTTGATTCACGAATAACATTTTCCTATTGTGACGGTTATGCTTTTCAGTTATCGATTGGTTAAACTATGATTCAAAAAAGTTTGTCGATTGCATATTTAACGGATTTTTCATTATTCTGTATTGTTTCAACGCTCTTGAAAGACAGTTATGTCATACATTTCTCAGAATATATTCGACAAGCGTGATGTTCGTGATAAAAAAAATAATAAGCCGTTTTAGAGGTAGTGATGCATCTATTAATGATTAACCTATCCTGATTCATATAAATTATTATCCTCTATCTACAATTCAATGGGTTAAACGCCATTTTTTACAGGAAATGAATTATTTAAATTGTATGTATTGTATAGAATATTTACGTTTCCTCTTCTTTTATAAATAAAAAGTTGCTGTAAATGTCTATTTGTACATTTTAGGACACTAGAATACTATGAATTTCTCACTGCATAACATTATTGTAACTAGAAACGAAATTAGGGGGCCCGAATTAGTATGTTCAAGCTACATTTAACACTGAACTAGTGCGAATGTAGCCGCTATATCTAAAATATTGTGTATAGATGTGTATGAAGGTGTTTTACATTCAAATATTTATTCTGTAGGGTCAGGAGTCAGACCATTGCATTTATAAATAGCAAGGGCCTGACTCCTGACCTTCAACTGTAACATTTGCAATACCTTCATGTTATCCAGGCAAATGAGAATTAGGTGGCTTCATGTACAGTGTTGACTTCAGACATTTTTTTCGGAAAAATATTTTCTTATAAAAGATCGGTTTGGGGCCCGCTGTTGTTGGGGACCCCAGGAATTGCCCTTTCTGCTTATAGGATAACGCGCAACTGGAAGAATCTGTTCCTGGAAGCACCACAGTAAGGTTTTCAACGAGGAATACACGCCTTAAGTTTTATCAATTTAAATATCAGAATATAGAATGGTCCTAGTATTTCTTTCACAATACCAGGACCATTCAAGGATGCTCTAATAGGCTCAAGGATTCATCACTCACTTCTAGGAAGCATGCGATTTTATTCAGCTTATGCTTCAGTAGAATCCTTGATTAGTTAATTAATATTTCTGAATATTTTTATTTGAATTTTTCGGGTTTTTTTAATAGAGAGGTTGCGGCCGACATTTTCAACGCGAAAATGTGTACGTTGAACGTTCAGCGCCACCTTCCCGTAAGCCTAGAAGTTTGACAATGGCGTTTGGAACGTCGAGCATGATTTCACTGACGTTCCAAACGCCATTGTCAAACGTCTAGGCTCACAGGAAGGCGGCGCTGAACGTTCAACGTACACGTTTTCGCGTTGAAAACGTCGTCCGCAACCTCTCTATTACCTAACTAGGGCTAGTTTTTCATAGAAAATCCTTCTGGGAGGCACCCCCTTGTCATGTTGCGTTACCTCCTCATGCCATCAATCCTTACAATCCTGTTTAAAAGCGAGGGGTCCTAGAAAAGCCGTTACAACAACTATTTAACAGTAAATTAATCCCGTTTTATAGAACCATTCTATATGCTCAAACTTTAAAGTTCGTGTTGCAGCGGTGGCCTGCCGTTTCACACGAAGGGAATTTTCCTTCTTGCCTCCTGCAATTTCATATAATTTTTTTTTTCGCCTATCATTATTTGTAGTTAGACTACTCGGTCATAATTCTTGGATTGATTATCACACTTCCAGAACTGATCGTTTATCTAGATTCTCTTCCATCTCTT